GTCCCTCAGGCAGCTCCACAACCACCCTACCATTAAACATCACCAGGCAGATTGATACATGGATTTCTACATGATAAGTATGATGTATGACTGTATGGTGCAAGTTTTGGTCGGGAATATTTTTCTGGTACTTCTAAGTAATCTAACTTATCAGAGAGACGTTAGGAATGCAAGAAAATAGTTTAACTTTGCAGAATTATACATTTACGGTGGCGGCAGGTGGATTAGAAAGAAAGAAAGCAACTTATTTGTTTGCATTCAATGATAAATTAGGGGTACAGAAGCGAGCGTGAAAATCGCGAATATAAAAGAACTGCAAATAGAAAGTAATTTACAGTAGGTCATGGTAGAGACTCTGATCATGGTAGACTGAGCGCTTAGGCCACACCAATTTAATTTCTTGGTTAACGGATTTTTCTAGAAGAGTAATGGAGCGGGCGGGCGAAAAAAATAAAAATAAGAACAGGCCTAGGCATCCTATTATGGCCCAAAATGGTATGATAGGAGCCATGAAGTCAACACACCAGGCTGGTTCAAAATTTAAACAATGTATTTTGAACTTTTAATGATTACCACTGCATTGAAAGATGGAATAACTGTAACTAAGAAGAAAAGGACTGTTTTCAACTGTTCAAAATATGAGCATTTTGCAGTACTGTTCATTCTGAATTTTTTTCTGTCAATGTGGCATGTGGAGGAAAAATTGTGAAGGGAATTCGAACCAATCGATGATTGTCCACTTGATGGACAAAATTGACAAAAATCTTGGATATACTTTAGGCTGAAATTGTAGGATATGTTGGTTGGGCAATGTTAAATCATAGCATTTATAGACACAGAAGAGATGCAATCAGAGTATCTGAGTTATACTTACTCTGATGTCCCGATTAAACGTACCGGTACGTTTATTTTTTTCAGCCCGAACGTCCACCCGGTACACTCTTATTAGGGACGGTACGTTTATTAATTTTTGGGAAAAAAATTGTCCATACGTACCGCACCATCAGCAAGTGGCCGGCGGCCGCAAAATTCGGCAACACGTCACAGATAAATATTTGGTCCATGATAGCGGCATTTCCCATGAATATAATGTATATTATTTTTTTTTCACCTGCTGTCCATTTTTAAGTCCCAAAACGTCTGAAAAAGCAAAAATTTGCCCACAAAACCGAAGGGGAAGGCGAGTAGCTAATCGACGTATTTAGCACATGGCGGCCCCAAGTCCTTGTCAAAATCGGCAACGCGGCAGAAAAATGCCTGGTCCATTTTAGCGATATTTACCATGAAAAAAACGTATGTGGTTTATTTTCCCTCTGGTGTTAGTTTTTAGGTCCCGAAACCCCTAAAAAAGTAGAAAATTATTTGCCCACAAGACGGACGGCCGACGTGGGGAGGGCGCCTAGCGCCTGAGCAGCATGACCCGTAAAAAGTCAAAGGTCATAGGGCACCCATATTGCGCAATCACCGTAAAAGCGCCGATTTAGCTAATTTTAGGGCGTTTAAATTGATACAATCACATTGTCGATTTTTAAAAAAACAATGAGATGGAAACCAATCAAAATTTTATGCTGAATAATATTTTTTTCTTCAAAAGTTTTTTTCTTCAGAAGTTTTTCTTCTTCAGAATCCAGACTTTGACCAGACTAGACAATGTATCATACCAAATAATTATTATGTTGAAATGGATTTTGTTGTACATATACTCATTAAACCCCTATATTTGTACTTAATTGGGCTTGATTTTCTATCTCTTAAGTTAGTCAGATTTTCAACTCAAGTTGCAGGAGAAGGCTTAGCAAAGTGCATTTCAGAAGTGTAAAATGCAATAGCTTCTCCTACGGACTTTGTATTTCCCCAAAACAAGTACAATATATATATACTCATTAATTAAAGTGATATATACTCACTAATTAAATGTAACAGTGAAAGATTTGCCCATATATTGGTATTGAAATAAAGAGCACATTTTAGTATCATGGACACACAGTTCACCTGTCAATTTGGTCATTTTCCGGGGGGTACGTTTATTCCGGAGGGTATGTTTATTAGACTTTGAAGATTTGTCCGGGGGGTATGTTTATTCCGGGGGGTATGTTTATTAGGGACATGAGAGTATAGAGATTCTGCTGAATTATCGCTGATTTTACTCACAGTTGACATGTTTTAAATATTTTGTCACTGATTCAAGTACCGTATACATGTACATGTATCTCTTACATTTTGTACTAGCAGAGACATAATAGCTGGTCCATTAGTCTGATGAAGTTATATAAAAGGCTTTAAAGTTTAATCAGCTCTTTACTTAGTAACCTAGCAATAGGTATATTTACAGATGTGTACTTTTCAATGTCAGACTTAGCTATTCAACTTCAAGGACAGAGAATAATGGATTTCCATAAATTTAGTCAATATACTTTAAGTCTACTAGTAGAGTGTATATTAGGCCACACCAATTTAATTGGTTGTTTCTCAGATTTTGTCAGAAAAAATTAGGAGCGACAGGGAAAAAAAAACAGGCCAAGGCACCCCATCAAGCCGGAAAAGTTACAATATGAGCCATGAAGTGAACATACCAGGGTGGTTTATAATTGAAACAATAGATTTTGAACTTTTAATGAAACAAAATTGCATTATTACATTGAAAAACATAAGAAAAGGACTTTTTTCAACCGTTGGGACCAAAATATGTCTTTCATTGAGCATTTTGCAGTTAATTTAGAACCCAAAAAAAACACATTTTTTCCAATTTAGAAAAAAATGGACAGGGCGATCTGAGAGGCAACAAATTAGATTGGTATGGCCTTATCATAGCATGAAAGTTTAAATGTAAATCTGGTGTAAAACTAACTTTCCTTGTGTATATTTATTTTCTTTGTCAATAAGGTTTATAATATTGTTTGAGGGAGTATCTGACAATGTCTGTCTGTCTGTGAACATAATAACATTAGAATGCCTGGGTGGATTGTCTTGATATGTGGTATGTGGGTAGGCCTTGACGATTCTTCCAAATGAATTGGTTAGATTTTGGGCCCCCTGGCAGCTTGTTATGGCACAGCAGTGGAACTTCCAGTTTTGATATCTCTTGATGCTAGATGTCACAATTTTTGAGTCATTGAACATTTAGTATCAATACTAAACCCAATAATACCTCTACATTTGATCTACCATTAATTCTATAATATTAGTGAATCTATTTAGAGTTTTACAATGTATTTTTTGTTCCCAGATGTACATTTTGTAGATCTTGTATCGCTCAGTTGACGCCATTGCTGTCTATTCTTAGCCCCCTGGTGCTTTACGTTAATGGCTTTAACGTGGTGAGATGACATGGAAGGTTAAGGTTTGAGTGTTTCCATGCTGTGAATAGGGTATTATCCTCTGGAATCTTCCTGGGGAGATTGAAGGATTGATGAAGGGATTAAGGCCACACCAATTTAATTTGTTGGTTCTCGGATTTGCCTCTTCATTTTTTCTGATTTGCCAAAAAAATTAAAAGATTCTGGTTCTGAATCAACTCAAATATGCTCATATTTGGCCCCCAACAGTTGAGGAAAGTCCTTTTCTTCATAGTCGTTACAGTTTTTCCATCTATCAATGCAGTGTTTGATTAAAAGTTTAAAATTCATTGTTTAAATGTTATTTACCCAGCCTTTTGTGTTGACTTCATGGCTCCTACTGTAGCATTTTGGGCTATAATAGGAGGCCTAGACCTGTTTGTATTTTAATTTTTTTTTGCCCTATCACTTCAAATTTTTTCTGAAAAAATCCAAGAACCAAAAAATTAAATTTGTGTGGCTTAAGGCTTGAGTGTTTCCATGCTGTTAATAGGGTATTATCCTCTGGAATCTTCCCGGAGATATTGAAGGATTAATGAAGGGATTAATTTGTTGTTTCAATTTAATTTGTTGTTTCTCAGATTTTTTCAGGAAAAATATGAAGCGTCAGGGCTAAAAAAAAAAACAGGCCAAGGCACCCCATGATAGCCGGAAATGTTACAGTATGAGCCATGAAGTGAACATACCAGGCTGGTTTATAATTAAAACAATAGATTTATAACTTTTAATGAAACAAAATTGCATTGTTACATTGAAAAACATTAAGAACTAGGCTAGGAAGAAAAGGACTTTCTTCAACCTTTGGGGCCAAAATATGTCTTTCTTTGAGCATTTTGCAATTATTAGGCCACACCAATTTAATTTCTTGGTTAACGGATTTTTCTAGAAAAATAATGGAGCGGACGGGCGAAAAAAATAAAAACAGGCCTAGGCATCCTATTATGTCCCAAAATGGTACGATAGGAGCCATGAAGTCAACACACCAGGCTGGTTCAAAATTTAAACAATGAATTTTGAACTTTTAATGATACCATTGCATTGAAAGATGGAATAACTGTAACATTAGGGAAAAAATGACTGCTTTGAACTGTTCAGGGCAAAATATGAGCATTTTGCAGTTGATTATGATTTTTTTAAAATTCAATTTAGAAAAAAATGAAGCGGGCGAATCTGTTAACCAAGAAATTAAATTGGTGTGGCCTAATGTTTGAGTGTTTCCATGCTGTGAATAGGGTATTATCTTCCCGGAATCTTCCCGGGTAGATTGAAGGATTAATGTAGAGATTAATCCAAGGGTAATCAATTGTAGAACATAAAACGTGGCCACACCCTCCTGCTCCACAGGAACCTGTATGTATTATTCATGGTTCCGTTACGTGCAGGTTGTCATGTCATCATGTTCACATTTGTGTCTCTGTGTGTGATTGTGTTACAACAGTACTTTTCTCAAAGTACAATGAACAAAACCAATATATCAAAGATCTTATTATTGTTAAAAAGCTTGTACTGTCGTGAATTTTTTTCCGAATATCTTGTTGAAGTCATTAATAAAAATATAATATTGTTAATTTCAAGCCAATGCCATGTATGGATTTTTTTCACTGCCTACTATATACCCTATGCATCACTTGACGTGGGAAGGCTCTTTAAAGTTTTTAACTAAATATGTGTAAGGCCACACCAATTTAATTTCTTGGTTAACGGATTCGCCCGCTTCATTTTTTTCTCATTTGAATATAAAAATAAAAATTCAGAATCAACTGCAAAATGCTCATATTTTGCCCTGAACAGTTGAAAACAGTCCTTTTCTTCTTAGTTGTTACAGTTATTCCATCTTTCAATGCAGTAGTATCATTAAATGTTCAAAGTTTAAATTTTGAACCAGCCTGGTGTGTTGAATTTATGGCTCCTGTCGTACCATTTTGGGCCATAATAGGATGCCTAGGCCTGTTTTTACCCGCTCCATTAGTTTTCTAGAAAAATCCGTTAACCAATAAATTAAATTGGTGTGGCCTAAACTGATTTACACTGTATTTATGATCTCTTGTTTTGTTTTTTTCAGCATCAGACTCTAACGTACTAGACCTGTCAGAAGTAATAGCAGTAACGCCAGTAGAGAAACATGGTGGTCAGCGGAACAAGGACGGTTTCAGCGACATCGAACTCACCCCCATCAGCTGTTCCCGGTTCGCCGTACATTATGTAGAGAAGAAACGTGGCCGGGTGTGGCGGCCGGGCAGGGTCACCTTCAAGTGCCAAGACCCTACAGTGTGTAGGGAGTGGATAGATAGACTGCAGGAGAGATTGAACCAAGGTATGCTTCTTACAACTTTGTTGTTACCTCCATGAAAAATGGAGGTATCGTTTTTGGTGTGTCTTTGTCAGTTTGTGTAACCGTTCCGCACATTTGTAGTCAGCATAACTTCAGAACGCCTTTATGGATCGTGATGATATTTGGTGTGTTGGTAGCTCATAGGAAGACAAAGGTCAAGGTTAAATATGGGCCTCCTGGTGGCTGACCTTGGTACTGCAGCAGAACTTCTGGTTTTTGTATCTTTTGACCTGAACATGCTATGGTCTTGGATTTTTGATGACAGATTGCTTTTCCTGTCAGGAATAAGTGGTGTGGTTTTGGTCCCCCTAGCTGCTTGTTCTGGAACTGCAGGGGAGTTTATGGCAAAATCTTTTAAAGCGGATAAGTCCAGAAAGGAGCAACGTATTTTCATCATTTTTCTTATTTAGGACAAGCTGATTTAATTTTATGGATGACATCGACACGCGCACTTTTCGTCTGTTCTAAAAAAATCACCTCCTCTGATCTGGCCTGAGTGCCATCCTCCATAGTCCATGGGAGCTAGTGACAATAGTTACTACCATGATGATGGTAACTACGGAGGATGGCACCCAGGCTGCCGAAGCTCCACAGAACTCAAGAACTCAATACAGTGTAGGCTCATAAATGCCAGAAAAGGCCAGCATGTGCCGACTTGTCATTGAAGTTGCTATGTACTACCACAAATTCACAATACCAGATTTGTATTCATGTGGTTTAGCTGCTTTTTTTTGTGGGGGGGGCGCATGCACTAGTTTTGGGGTCTTCAGAGGATGTTATCGATAAAATTAAGTCAGTGTGGCCTAAGCAATGTAATAAGACAATCCCTGGTTGTGCATAACAAAATCCCAACATTCTATGTTCTACCAACTTGTTGGAATTATTGTTAAAAATAAAAGTAAAGAAACATTCTGACATGTGCATTATGTTGTATGACAGAGTACCTGAGACCCCGCCGTCTGCTGGTGTTTGTCAACCCTTTTGGAGGGAAGAAGAGAGGAGTTCAGATCTACCAGCAGAAGGTGGCTCCACTGTTTGACTTGGCAAGGATCAAGGCAGATGTCATAGGTAAGGCAATGGACCTGGACTCTAGCCAGTTCAAAACAAACAAACAAACAAAACTGTAACATGGGTCTGTCCTTGGTGCTGAAAAAACAATTACTGACTTAAACTTCACAGCTAAGTCAACATTGCACACAATTTGAGTGTCTGGTTTGAATAAAACACTTGGTTACGTAAAAAGAGTCTCTTTATGCAGCTTTGATTCCAGTTTGCAACTATAAGTATAACATGGTTCTGCCCTTGGTGCTGAAAAAACAATTACTGACTAAATTCACAGCTAAGTCAACACTGCACACAATTTAAGTGTCTGGGCTGAATAAAACCTCTTGGTTGTGTAAAAAGAGTCTCTTTATTCAGCTTTGATTCCAGTTTACAAACTGTAACATGACTCTGTCCTTGGTGCTGAAAAAACAATTACTGACTGACTTCACAGCTAAGTTAATACTGCACATAATTTCAGTGTCTGGTTTGAATAAAACACTTGGTTGTGTAAAAAGAGCCTCTTCATTCAGTTTTGATTCCAGTTTGCAAACTGTAACATGACTCTGTCCTTGGTGCTGAAAAAGTAATTACTGAGTAACAATTACTGAGCTAAGTCAATTTTACACACAGTTTCAGCGTCTGGGTTGAATAAAACACTTGGTTGTGTGAAAAGATTCTTTTTTATCAGCTTTGATTCCAGTTTGCAAACTGTAACATAGGTCTGTCCATGGTGCTGAAAAAGAAATTTCTGAGTAACAATTACTGAGCCACAAATGTAAGTCGATAGTGCACACAATTTCAGTATTTGGGCTGAATAAAACACATGGTTGTGTAAAAAAGAGTCTCTTTATTTAATGACTTACCAACCTGACCAACTAGTGGGGCAGATAACTGAAATAATCTTTCAAATTGTGATACAAGCACCAAACTTGGTACAAATACTCATGAGACATTACTCTTTTGAAAAAGTACGCGGGCCACTTGATTTGACTTTTGGCACCCGCTAGCGGCGCTTTTTGGTACTGCAGCCGACATTCCGGGCTTTGTATCTTCTGTTATAAACATGATACAGTCATGATTTTTATGTGGTAGAAAGCTGTTAAAGTGAGAAAGAGGTCATGTAAATTTGGTGTCTCTAGCAGCTTGCGTTGGAACTGCAGGGGCGTTTTTGCCGGTGCACAATTTGCTCCAAGGGCGCTCTTTCAAGTCTTTGGTACTGCAGCCGACCAAAAAGTCCTCTCCTTGGAGCAAATTGTGCACCGGGAAAAAACGCCCCTGCAGTTCCAACGCAAGCTGCTAGAGACACCAAATTTATGTCACTTCTTTGTTATTCCAACAGATTTTCACCACATAAAAATCATGACTGTAGCATGTTCAGAACAGGAGATACAAAGCCCGGAAGGTTGGCTGCAATACCAAAAAGCGCTGCTAGGGGGCGCCAAAAGTCAAATCAAGTGGCCCGCGTACTTTCTCAAAAGAGTAATGTCTCATGAGTATTTGTACCAAGTTTGGTGCTTGTATCACAATTTGAAAGATACCTCCAAAATTTGATGTTATCTGCTCCACTAAACTGATGACGGTTTGTGTTCTTACAGTTACAGAGCGTGCTGGCCATGCTCAAGATTTACTACAAGAGCTGGAACTCAACAAACTTGATGGGTAAGTAACTAGAACATTTGTAAAGCAAAATGCAAAATGTTAAACTTTTACATGGTCTAGCCTACTGCTCTGTTTACCCGGTATTACTCAAACACATTCATGTAATAATTATTGTATATACAATGACCACCCCTTCCAACTCTGTCCTACAACTTTGCTACATAATGTAATCCAAAACCACAGGGTGTCTGCTACAGCACCAGTTACCATGGTGACAGATGTCTGGTCCAGGTCATTGACCCACATTTTTGTTGGGAGAAGAAGAACAACAACAAATAGAGCAAAGTAAAAAAATAAAAATAAATATGTTTTCCTTCTGCAAAGGTTAACATTAAATTATATCTGCCTCACAATCCAGTAAAATTGGCCCCGAAAACTGCATTTGTATGCAGTATATCCTTGATATTTCAAACCTTTCTTTAGCTCCGCTGGGCTGTTGACCGAAAATCAATACGCATAGAAAGAGATATAATCTGCCCGCAAGAAGGCACTCTCCTTCCATAAGCTCTTATTTGCTCAGGAGAATACGTTTAGATGCTATCTGGGTTTCACGTGGGCCTTGGATTACATGTACCAACTATCTTGTCAGCTGGGTGTCAATCAATACAGAATGATATATGATATATTACTAGTATTATCTCTTCTTAGATTTACCAAAAGTTTGAATTGGGTTTGATGTGTTTTTGAGGAATCTCTTGTACATGACATTTTGCTTGTCATAATGTTCAAAACGTTTTCTGAACACATCAATGAAAGTTAGACATTTTGGTAATAACTGCCCTACAAGAAAACTGTCCCTCAATTTACAAGCAACTGGATAGGTTTTTAAAACTGTCAGACATTTCAAGTAGCATGTACTACTTTTTGCCTGACAGTCACTGAAGAATCTGTGGATATTTTATACAAAATTCAGAGCAGTGCAGATAAAGTCAGGCTAAATGCTATGGGGCATGATTAGGCCACACCAATTTAATTTCTTGGTTAACGGATTCGCCGCTTCATTTTTTTCTGATTTGCAAATAAAAATAAAAATCCAGAATCAACTGCAAAATGCTCATATTTTGCACTGAACAGTTGAAAACAGTCCTTTTCATCCTAGTTGTTACAATTATTCCATCTTTCAATGCAGTGGTATCATTAAAAGTTCAAAATTCATTGTTTAAGTTTTGAACCTTCTTCTTCTGGTATGTTGACTTCATGGCTTCTATCGTACCATTTTGGGCCATAATAGGATGCCTAAGCCTGTTTTTATTTTTATTTTTTTTTCGCCCGCCCGCTCCATTATTTTTCTAGAAAAATCCGTTAACCAAGAAATTAAATTGGTGTGGCCTTACTGGAATGTGCTGACTCCGTATTTGGCAACTGTATCATTGTAAGACTTTGAGAACACTTCATACATACACACAAATGGAGGCATAAGGCCACACCAATTTAATTTCTTGGTTAACGGATTCGCCGCTTCATTTTTTTCTGATTTGCAAATAAAAATAAAAATTCAGAATCAACTGCAAAATGCTCATATTTTTCCCTGAACAGTTGAAAACAGTCATTTTCTTACTACTTGTTACAGTCATTCCATCTTTCAATGCAGTGGTATCATTAAAAGTTCAAAATTCATTGCTTAAATTTTGAACCTGCCTGGTGTGTTGACTTCATAGCTCCTATCGTACCATTTTGGGCCATAATAGGATGTCTAGGCCTGTTTTTATTTTTATTTTTTGTGTTCGCCCGCCCGCTCCATTATTTTTCTAGAAAAATCCGTTAACCAAGAAATTTAATTGGTGTGGCCTAAGCAGGGAAATTTTGAAATGGCTGGCAAGGTAAAAGAAAATGCAACTTTCGTTTCCCTAATGATGATAGATGTGAAAACTGCAAGCTGGGTGGGCGTTGGCTCAGCCATATGATACGTACTGCTGACATAGCTCTTTTTTCTTGGCATCCGGTGATGACAGCATTGTTGATTACTTGCTGCATGCTTGTTTCTAGCAAGACTGATAAGATAAAAGAAGTGTTGAAAAGATCCAGGGGCACAGAATGATGTACATTGTAGTTGCAGGGCTCAAAATACTTTAATTCCTGATTTTTTCACGGTACTTTTATGTTCACGGTTTTCGCAGTGAGTTCTGTACCATGAACTTATTCTATATCTATATATTGTACTGGACAAGGCCCCAAACTGGGGCATCACGTCCAGGGTCGTTACGTTATTATTACCCCTAACTGACTTTCTTTTTTCCTGCACCTGTCGCAACCGTGAACATAATAGCTCCGTGAAAACCTCAATTTCCTCAGACCATGAAATTTTCCTACCCTTAGGCCACACCAATTGAATTTTTTGATTCTCAGATTCGCCTCTTTTTTTCTGATTTGCAAAAGAAAAAAATGATTCTGGTTCTGAATCAACTAAAAAATGCTCATATTTTGCCCCCCACACTTGAGGAAAATCCTTCCTAGTTCCTACAGTTTTTCCATCTATCAATGCAGTGGTTTGATTAAAAGTTCAAAATTCAATGTTTAAATATTAACCCAGTCTTTTGTGTTGACATCATGTCCTCTATAGTAGCATTTTGGGCTAGAATAGGATGCCTATATACCTGTTTTTATTTTTTCTTCGCCCTGTTGCTTCATATTTTTCATGAAAAAATCAGAGAACCAACAAATTAGATTGCTATGGCCTGAACATAAATTTAAAGTGAATTATGGACCTTGTTTCTGCATACCATTGGGATATGAAGTGAAGTCCCAACGCCCTCCCTCCAAACCCTCACAGTCCCAGAGCTAGCATGTAATTCTCCTAATGTGTAACCTTGGCAGTGCCATTGAAACTCACACTGTTCATCACAACTCATCTGTTGGGGGCCCAGTATGGCACCCTGGGGTCCACATGTAAGTTTGGCACTGTCCCAACATGTCCTGTGGGATAATCCTCCTACTGTGTGAAGGGCACCCTTCAGTTCCAAATTTAAAGCTCAGTGTATTATTCACCTAAATTGAATGTGTATAATCTTGGCAGTGCCATTGAAACTCACTCCGCAGGCAATCATCTGTTGGGGGTCCCAGTATGGCACCCTGGGGTCTACATGTAAGTTTGGCAGCAGCCCAACATGTCCTGTGGGATATAAAGTCCCCCACTGTGTAAAGGGCACAAAGGCCACAGCAAGTAATTTTTATGGATGACATCAGCGTGCACATAAATTTTTGCCTGATTTTGGACAAAAAACAAGTACTTTGGTGCCCTCTGACAGTGGTCAACATGCTGAAAATTGGCAAAGATGTCTGTTGCCTTGGCGGAACATGGATGGCAGATAAATATGAAGAGAGGAGACAAAGCGAGGCTCTGATTTAATGTTTTGTCTTTTACTTTGATGCAGTGATGCATTTCATTCCTTTTATATATGATGGTGGTTGTGTACAATGTACAAATGTTGTTCCCACTGAATCAAAACCATTTGTACAGTGATTGAAATCTTTTGAAATTGTAGGAATCTTGTTTTTTTTGGCCTGCCTTGTTTTTTTTCCCGCTCGCATTAGATTTGGAGTCTGTGGAGGATTTCATCCGTAAAATTTACTTGCTGTGGCCTAATATGTAACCTTGGTAGCAACACTGAAACTCAAAATGCAGGCAATCTTTCTTCTGGGGGGCTCCAATACAACACGTGTACTGTCATTGTTTTTTTGGCCCGCCTTGTTTTTCTTTTTTTCCCTATCCCATTAGATTTGGAGGATGTCATCCATAAAATTTACTTGCTGTGGCCTAATGTATAACCTTGGCAGCAACAATTTGAAACTCAAACTGCAGACAATCTTTCTGCTGGGGGCTCTAATACAACACTTGTACTGTCAGTAGGAATCTTGTTTTTGTTGCCCGCTCGCATTAGATTAATTTTGGAGTCCGCGGAGGATGTCATCCATAAAATTTACTTGCTGTGGCCTAATAATGTAACCTTGGCAGCAACATTGAAACTCAAACTGCACTCTTGCTGCTGGGGGCTCCAGTACAACACTTGTATTGTCAGTAGGAATCTTGTTTTTTGGGCCCGCCTTGTTTTTTCTTTTTTTTCGCTATCGCATTAGATTTGGAGGATGTCATCCATAAAATTTATTATTACTTGCTGTGGCCTAATGTGTATTCTTGGCAGCAACAATTTGAAACTCAAACTGCAGGCAGTCTTTCTGCTGGGGGCTCCAATACAACACTGTCAGTAGGAATCTTGTTTTTTTGGCCCGCCTTGTTTTTCTTTTTTGCTCTATCGCATTAGATTTTGAGTCTGCGGAGGATGTCATCCATAAAATTTACTTGCTGTGACCTAATGTATAACCTTGACAGAAACTCAAACTGCAGGCAATCTTCATGCTGGGGGCTCCAGTACAACATTTGTACTGTCAGTAGGAATCTTGTTTTTTTTGGCCCGCCTTGTTTTTCTTTTTTTCCTTATCGCATTAGATTTAGAGGATGCCATCCATAAAATTTACTTGCTGTGGCCTAATGTTTAAAATTGGCAGCAACATTGAAACTCAAACTGCAGGCAATCTCTTTCTGCTGGGGGCTCCAATACGTCTTGTACTGTCAGTAGGAATCTTGTTTTTTTGGCCCGCCTTGTTTTTCCTTTTTTTTTCCCTATCGCATTAGATTTGGAGTCTGCGGACCAAGGATGTCATCCATAAAGTGTACTTGCTGTGGCCTAATGTATAACCTTGGCAGCAACATTGAAACTCAAACTGCAGGCAATTTTTCTTCTGGGGGGCTCCAGTACAACACTTGTACTGTCAGTTTTGGCACTGTCCCAATGTGTCCTGTGGGATATAATAAAGTGAAGTCCCCCCCAACTATGTGAAGGGCACCATACACTCCCAGAGCGGTGTAATTCACCTAAATGTCCGACCTTGCCAGCGTTATTGAAACTCACGCCGCGGGCGACCATCTGTCGGGGGCCCCAGTACGACACCCGGGGGTCACAGTCGCCCGTGCATTAGTTGATTATCGTAATGATTTCCATTAA